TGATTAAGAAAGGATCATATATCTCGTCTCCCCTCCTGCATTCCTTTGTCTCAAATGGGAGATTCTGACTTGTATTGTGGAGAGTGGGTGTCTCTTTGTCTTGCTCTCTCACCCTCCCCTCTACTTTGAGAATCAAGAACCAAGAATGTTCAGGGGCGTCTGGCCGGCTTAGTTGGTTAAACATCTGACTTCGGCTCAGGTTATGATCTCACGGTTTGTGGGTTCAAGCCGTGCATAGGGCTCTGTGTTGACAGCGTGGAGCCTGCTTCAGATTCTGTGTATCTCTCTCTGCCATGCCTCTCTCTCTCTTAAGTAAAAGATTAAAAAAACAAAAAAAGAACCAAGAATTTCTGTTGGACATCACTATTTGTCCTCTATATCATAAACTATTTGTCCTTTATATCATAAAAGAAAATAAGGCATATTTCCCGTATTTACTTCCCCTGATCCCACCTCCTTAACGCTACAGAAAACATTTTCTTTTTATTTCTCTGATATTTTTATTTATTTTTGAGACAGAGAGAAAGCACGAACTGGGGAGGGGCAGAGAGAGAGAGGAAGAAAGGAACCGAAGCAGGCTGCATGCTGACAGCAGAGAGCCTGATGCGGGGCTCGAACCCACGAACCGTGAGACGATGCCCTGAGCCAAAGTCTGATGCTTAGCCGACTGAGCCACCCAGGCACCGCTGCGGAGAACAGTTCTGATCCTCCCTGCCCCCTCGCACGCGGCCGATTTACAGTGTGTGGGAATGAGGAAGGGAAGTGAGAACACCAGCTGCACCCCCTTTGCCTGCGTACCCCGCAGCAGTGGTTGGCACACGTGTTCCGTAAAGCGTCAAGTGGTAAATACTCTGGCGTGTGAGACATGCAGGCTCTGTTGACACAGCTACTCAGGTTTGCTATCGTAGTGGGAAAGCAGCACAGCAGTGTGCAAGCGAAAGGGCAGGGCTCTATGCCGATAAAACTTTATTTACAAGGGCAGGCGGTGGGCCGCACTTTGCCAGCCTGTAACCTAGGTGAGCAACCCTGCACGCATGAGATTCTGTTTCTTTAAAATGAAGACACTGATTATACTAGCGTGAGCTTCCTATCCAATAGCATTCTGGTAAAGATTAAACTAAGTAATAGGGGAGACGTTTTATAAACTGTTAAGCCCTGTGCCATGTACTCAAAATAATTATAGACATCAACGTTTCATTCATTGTTCCGACAGAGTGTTTTGTATTCACTTGCTTTTTTTTTGTTTGTTTTTTTTAATTTGAGAGAGAGAGAGAGCAGGGGAGGGTCAGGGAGAGAGGGAGAGAAAGAATCCCAGGCAGGCTCCGTGCTGTCAGTGTGGAGCCTGAGCAAGGCTCACACTCACCAACCGTCAGCCCAAATCAAGAGTGGGCTGCCTCGCCGACGGAGCCGCGCAGGCGCCCCTGTATTCACCTGCTTCTCGAGCAAGGTGCACCTGAGGACAGTTCAGCCGTGCATGGAGACTGTCCCACGGGCACACACAGCCCAGTGTCAACCACGCTTCCAGGCACAGGCCGGATGCTGTGAGGTACGTGAAGTGATGGTACAGAGGACATTACCCGCATAGGGTTTTCTTCAAAGAGGTTTTCCCCTTTAGTTATTTAACAAGAAGTGCTTGAGTTTCCAAACCTCGGGTCATGTCCCTCCTCCGTCCCCAGGGAGGACATCAGTGTGTATGTACCACAAACTTTGACAAGGTCCGGCATATGGATAATGTGACCTGTTTGGCCGTGACTGTGACCACGGTCCCTTTAGAAATGATACAAAACCATCATGGGAAGAACCAGCACAGGTTTTTGTATTTTGTGTTTTTGTTTATCTGCAGAAGATTCTGGAATCACAGAAGGTCATGGCAGTGGTTACCACCTTACAGAATGCTGCCCACGAAGGGGGCAGGAAGGGATCGCTGCAGGAATCTGTAGCAGAGAGCCAGAGAATTCGTGGACAGTAGTATTCAAATGCAGGCGTTTCTACCAGAGCACACTAGATATAAAATATTTCCGCTTTTAATTTGGGGCTGAGGAATGTTTACCGCTGTTACTGGTGTTACTAGAGATTTTGCTAGAATCAGCATGCCTGAATGAATGCGTGGCTTCGGGGAACGATCTGGCTCCTGAGAGCATAAATCAGAGTCAGAGGCACTGCATACAAAGTACCCGAGCTGGAGGCTTATGGCTAGAGAGGAGCGGGTCTATTGCAAATTTAATCAAGCCATTTCATAATAAGCTATACGTTTCCCACAGTCCTGTATCCAATCAGAACAAGCTAACAAGAGTGAAGAAAATTTGGAGCAAGAATTTTCAGTTCCCCCAAACAGCAGTCATCAACCCTGTGGTAAATTACAACACCGCAGTGTGATGAACCCGATTCCCCTTCTTTTCCTTAAATTGAGCAAAGTCACAAGGGCTCTTAGTTAAGTCCAGTGACACAAGGTATATATTATTAATATCCTTTGATGGAAACTAAGCAGACTTTCATGTCATTGTTGAAATATTCTACTGAGAATATGAAAGATAATTTCAGGTGTCTTTTTTTTTTTTTTTTCCTGTAGTTACTAACATATTCTGGAAATCGGTATCCATCCCCAAAGCAAATGACAAAAATAAAACAAAACAAAAGCAAGATCTGGGACAAGAAGGCACAGAACCATATTTTTGGGGGCCTTCTCACTGCAAATCTCCCTTCTAAAAATTCTATGTATAGGGGCGCCCGGGTGGCTCACTCGGTTAAGCATCCACCTTCAGTTCAGGCCATCATCTCATGGTTCAGACGTTTGAGCCCCACATCGGGCTCTCTGCTGTCAGCACAGAGTCCATTTCGCATCCTGTCTCCCTCTCTGTCTGCCCCTCTCCTGCTCACACACTCTCTCTCCCTCTCTCAAAAACAAACATTAAAAAAAAACGGTTTATATAAGCATATATATATATATATATATATATATACACACGCACACACACACACACACAATATACACACACACATGAATATGGGCATGTTAAACACACAAACACATATGAATATGTCTGTAGAATGTAATTACATGGTAATGTGTGTGGTGTTCTTTTAAAAATAATGATATGCAAATTATGCAGATCGGTTTTGTTTTACTCTTGATCTGCCTCTGTTTTCTGCAGCTTTCAACACAGGGTCCATTCATCATTTATTGACTTTGATGCCCTTTGAGGGTGTTGCTGGCTGGCCAAAGCCATTGCACACAGTCCGGGGCTGATCAAGCAGTCACCCGCTTTACCAATAAAAACAAGTAAAAAAGACATGAAAAGAAAGACACCTTATAACAAGATGAATGTGTCTTATAATCAAGTTCAGGACATGTATGCTAACCATGTCTCCTTCCTTCCTCTGGCTCTACGCTCAACAGCACGGTGTGGTTTCCCCACATGACTTCTCAGTGTCAGAGGAAACACAGCGTGCAGAATTCTCGACTAAAGATTCTTCTCTGAGGGACTTCTCAACCATTACCAGACTTTTATTTTTGCACTGAGGTGTGTGTGTGTGTGTGTGTGTGTGCGCGCGCGCGCACGTGCATATATTTGTTAGATTAGGTCAACACACTGGGACAACAGTGGCTTGAGACTATTTGACTTTGAAACAGACAGCATAACAGGGCGCCTGGTGGCTCAGTTGGTTAAGTGTCCAACTTTGGCTCAGGTCATGATCTCACAGTTTGTGGGTTTCGAGCCCCGCGTCGAACAGCTCAGAGACTGGAGCCTCTTTGGATTCTGTGTCCCCCTCTCCCTCTGCCTCTTCCCTCCTCATTCTTTGTCTGACTCTCAAAAATAAATAAACATTTAAAAAAAGAAAGAAATGGACAGCATAAGAAATACCATCTTTGCATTTCTTTAGTTGTTCTTTTTCAGCACACAGTTGTGCAGAAGCCTCTAGAAGCTTCTCTTACTTGCTCTGTCCATCCCTCTCCATTAGGCACTGGTCTGAAAACAAAGAAACCTCTTGTGAGTAATATTTTATTGTTTTATATGGCACTTTTCATTCTTTGTGGCCTTAAAACCTCATGTCCTAGGATGCCTGGGTGGCTCCATCAGTGAAGTGTCTGACTCCTGATTTCAGCTCAGGGTGTGACATCACATTTCGTGAGTTCAACCCACACGTTGGGCTCTGTGCTGACAGTACCCAGAGCCTGCCTGGGATTTTCTCTCTCCCTCTCTCTGTCTGTCTCTCTCCTGCTCATGCTCTCTCTCTCAAAACAACCAAACAAACTTAAAAAATCTAAAAAAAAAAAAATTAAATAAAAACCTCATGTCTTAAACTCAAGAGCCAGTTTGGAATAAGAGGATTTCTGGTTGTTCTGTTTATTTCTAAGTTGGCTACAGAGAATGCCAGTGTCCAGTTGTTATAATAAAATTGGAATGTCCTGTGTTGCTGGATATTCAGTATCAACTCTAAACTTGGCTTTGCACTTTGATTAAATGGTGAGCCCCAACGTTATTACATTATGCATCCCCTGTCATCATAAAAATGAAGGTACACCTTAATTAAAATAATCAACTGGACGTTTTCGTTTTTTTAAGGCTTTATTTATTTCTGAGAGAGAGAGAGCAGGGGAGGGGCGAAGAGAGACACACAGAGAGAGAATCCCAAGTCAGCTCCATACTGTCAGCACAGAGCCAATGTGGGGCTCGAACTCAAGAACCATGAGATCGCATCCTGAGCAGAAACCAAGAGCTGGACGCTTATCTGACTGAGCCACCTGGGTGCCACTCTACTGAAAGGTTTTAAACAATTGGAGAGCTTTCCTGATCTTTTCAGTTTCTCATTATAGGGGTAAATGGTCTGTGTACAAAGATTTAAAAAACTCACCAATCAGATCAGTCACCGTAAGTAGACATTTAAGAGCATACCAAAGACACTGATGATACTGGAAGGAAGGAGCCCTGTTGAAGACTCTGTGCTCATCTTCTTCATGTGGGACGGGTGTCGTTGACATGAGCCGTTTCTTCCCTCAGAAGTGGGTGGATGGAGGGCTCACCAACAGCCTTCCCATCCTCCCTGTCGGCCGAACGGTAGCCATCTCACCCTTCAGTGGACGACTGGACATCTCCCCTCAGGACAAAGGGCAGCTGGATCTGTACATTAACATCGCGAAACAGGACATAATGGTGAGTACCGTGTTCACTGACATTCGGAGATACTTGCCTAAAAGTTTCCACACGCTTCCAAAGTGCTGGAAGCTCACTGATAACCTCATGTACGCATCGCATGTTCTCAGTAATACGGGATTTTAATAGTTTCCAGTACCTGTCATGCACTTGGACGCGGGTGCACCGATATGTTGTGAGTAGGCAAACCTTTCACTATTCACCTATTTGTGAAAAGTTCTCTGTCTCTTTTCTTCAGGTCAGTAAACTTAGGGAAGGATTTCAGTACAACTGCAAACTAGGTCATTTATTGGTGTAAAACAAATGGTGAGAATTGAGTGTGAGAACGTATTGGAGAAAAATTTTAGGACTGAACTGAACAGCTTACATAAAATATCGACTCCCTTAACGTAGTCTAATCGTTCGCAACCCGAGGCGATACTACACTTAGGAGACACTGGCGATGCCTGGACGCATGTTTGATTCCCACGTCTGCCAGGCGCTCCTGGCATCCAGGAGGTGGAGGTCAGGAGTGGTGCCCAGCATCCTCTGATGCGCAGACAGCCCCCACCACAAGCAAGTATCTGGCCCCACACGTCACTAGCACCAAGACCGAGAAACCCGCATCTAGCCTGTGGGTGAAGTGAAGCTTTCAAGTTGGGTTTTCTCTTACTGATTTTTTAAGCCACTAATTGCATGTATGGTAAGAAATCTCAGGTGACATGTCTGTGTACTGTAATGTCCTATCGCTCCCATTTGTTTTTCTATTGCAGCTGTCCATGGCAAACTTGATGAGGCTTAACCAAGCCCTTTTCCCACCAGGCAAGAGGAAACTGGAGTCACTGTATCAACATGGCTTTGATGACGCCATTAAGTTTCTACACAAAGAAAATTGGTTTGAATAGAACGCTTCAGCGTTTATAATGCAAAACAGACTTCACAATTTTTTTTCATTTTTGTCCACATGGTTCTTGATGGATGTTTCTAATTAAATCCGTTAAAAAAAAAAAAAAAACCTATCAGGATTCTTGATTACTAGTTTTCATGTCCTTTGAAAGATTTAGAAGGGCCAGCAATGCGGATCAACCATGGAAGGTTGAAACGGAGGACCACCATGAGTGCTTTCTTCCTACACAGAACGTGGCTGCACGATTTTGAGGTGAATCATGGGTTTTTCTGTGACTTAGCAGTGTTACCGGGGTGGGAAGAACACAGGTCTGCTTCTCACGGGTGGTCGTGACTGTGCCTGGTGGTAGGTACGGGGTGGATGCGAGATGGGAGCCCAGAAGCCCAGCAGAACTGGACACGAGGTAGGGGTTTCTTCATTCTTCAGGAGATGTTTATTCCCTTCCCACCTTCCTCCTTTTACACCCCAGCCTCCTGGCTAACGTGATTTACATCAGGCTGTTTTGAGGCTTTGCTGTTATGAGCCCAAAGCTGTATTAATAATTCTTCCCCTTGGGGCGCCTGGGTGGCTCAGTCGGTTAAGCGTCCGACTTTGGCTCGGGTCATGATCTCACAGTTCTTGGGTTTGAGCCCCGCGTCGGGCTCTGTTATGATAGCTCAGAACCTGGAGCTGCTTCTGATTCTGTCTCCCCCTCTCTCTGCCCCTCCCCTGGTCACGTTGCCTCTCTCTTTCTCTCTCTCTCAGAAATAAATAAAACATTAAATTTTTTTTTTAATAATTCTTCCCCGCTCTCCATTTCTCTATATCTGTCTCTCTAGCTCTTTCTGCCTATGTCTTGACGTCTCTCTCTCTCCCCTCTATTCCTACAAGGCCATACCTCACCGGATGTTTGGCCATTAGTCCATGGACTGGATCTGTCTACTGTAGGAACTTAGATAATATACTACTAAATATGAAGAACCAAGGCAACCAAGTAGCCTAGTAAATAAGAATCACATCCAAAATAATCATTCATTTATTATTTCAAGCCATGTTCTGGATTCTAGGTCTTCTGTTCTTTGGCTATCCTATCACACTGAGGACTTGTATGTGGGTTTACACTAATTCATGGACATTGTCTCAGATCTTAAATCTGTTTTTATGGGGCTCTACTAAGCACAAACTCTTAATTACCAAGAGGCAATTAGAAACAAACCAGCTTCAATGTATGTTTTAACTGTTATGCATTTCTCTTTTACCATTTTAAACCATTCTTTAAATCAGCTTTATAGCTCTTAAAAGCCCCAAATACACATTTCTTAGCACATAAACACCAATTATGGCTTCTTTTCTTACGAGTTACCCAGAGACCTGCTACAGAATGGCGATACTCTTCTTCGGAGTATGGAGTTCTGTCTTAGTATGCTGTTTTCTAAGTGACGTGACGATTTTCAGTTCAGTTTCAGATCTGTTCATTCTCCACACCCCACCCTTTTTCATTTTACGTGAACATCCCATTTGTATGATATTTCAATAAATTCTTTAGGATGCCTCCCGGGAGCAAAGTCTAGCGTGTTAGACTTCTGAGCTGCTGTACCTACCACTTACGTCTGAGGGCATGCTGGTGGGTGTACCTTCCTTGAGGAACACCGCGGGACGCAGTGGAATGTAATCCGTGCGTGCCGGGTGCCGCGCCGGGTCCCCGCGTGAGGCAGGTCACAGAGCAGGCTCAGTGCGGGCCAGGATGCACCCTTACGCGTCCCTACGGATGGAAACCAGGCTCTCCAAGCAGGCTGTGCAACATGACTGACATCAGTACGTGGAAGCACTGTGGCCTGGGTGTACGGAAGGCCGGGGAACCTCTCATGGCCAGATCCTGGTGTGTGCGCGGGGTAATTACTGTGACTGTTAGCCTGATAAACCCCCCGTTCCCTGTTGGGGCCAGATTCCTGGTGCCTTTGAATCTGTCATTTAAAATTTCATTAGTCTTTCTGTTCTTTTCAGTAACACTATTTGCTTTCTCACTATGGGAACCCAGTGTTTCCACTGACAATTAGAGAAACTAGATTTGGGTTTGAAGTTAAATAATGTTCTAAAGGAACAAGCAGTATACTTAAAAAAAAAAAAAAAAAAAAACTATTACTTTCTGGTTTTACAATATTGGATGTATTGTGTGCATACCAGAAGCTTGCAAAACACAGCCTTGCAGCTCTGGGATTGAATGACAAGTTTCAACAGATAAGGGCACTTAAAACGGGCAGATTTAAGTTATTCTGCTCTTAATTTTCTTCCGATGGTTAAAACAGGTACACGTATAATTACTTTCCTTTTTTGTATTTGTAAATATTCATCATAGAAAGTTTCTGGATCTAGTCCATTAATTTTACAGTTGAGGAACCAATAATTAAGGAAGTTCAGGGTTTTCCGTTTTTTTTTGCCTAAGTCATTGCTATGCTATAGCAAAATAAAACTGAAATTGGAAGTAATTATCCACATAACTCAAAGCAGGGAGAAAAGCAATCTGTGCAGATCAGAAAAAGTGGACATATTTTTAAACAACAATAATAATAATTGCTAATGATTAGTAGTAATTGCTGATAATTACTACTAATTATTATTAATTACCATTATTTGCAGATTGACAGTTTTGTTGGGCTGAGCTCACCATGTAATTACTCAGCTTGCACTTGATTTTGCCTCTGGTGACACAAGTGAAACACGTCCTTACTCAGGGCTGATACATATATTTATGTATTCCTGACACTTGTCCTCTGAGGATAATGTCTCCTGCACTTGACTGACTCAAGGAGGGGCAAAAATAGAATTCAATCTTTCCCACACCATAGAGAGTGTTTGTGAAGATGCAGACCTTCACTCCTCACAGTAACCACATATCCATCTAATCTGGAAATAAGGTAACGTTACTTGGACAAAACATGATGCTTCAGCATACGTATGCACGCAGACCCGCGTAGGCCTGACATACAGCAGGCCAGGGCACGTACATCCTAACTGCGCAGAGGTGATGCATTTACTTACTGAGTTCTTCCATTTACTTACCGTGAAGTTTTCCTTTACCTACCGTGTTTACAGATATTCTTTAGGCTGCAATAGTCAAATTCATGTTTGTGGGCGGACCAAGTAAAGGCCAAATCGGTGTACTGTCCACTTCTGAAAAGCCACACAGTAACAGATAGTCCAGGAGCACAGCCTTCTCCTAACGGGCCCCATCAGGGTTGCCATATGATTTAACAGCTGTGGGCAAGCTCATGGCTGCAGGTGGGTCCCTGGCTCGTAGGCTATGGTCTATAGGCTGAGAGGTTCATGGATTTAGAATTGTGCCCAACCCCATCCTGGAAGGTGCAGGTCAAGTGAGATGCTCTATGTCCAAAGATAGGACATGAACCATACAAAGATCATAGGGGACATATGTGTGGCTTCCTACCCTCATGGCGCTCACCTGAGCAACTAGGAAATGGCTGTGCAGGGAATTCAGGCCACAAGAGCAGTGTGAAAGGGCTGGGATGATTGAGGGGGGCACACGGTCCGTGCCTTTCCTATTGTCACAACGCAAGACATATTGATATCTATTGCTAGCCAAGGTCACACCTCTGCCATCACCCCACCCAAACCATGACTGACCTGGGATGGGAAGAAGTGCTGTTGGACAGGCTGATGGTGACACATCTTCAAATCCAGGAGCTGCTTCAGGAAAGGAGAAAATTTGACAGAGGAGTGCTCGATCGCTGGGCTTGGTCACATGGGCAACACTTTGGCAATGGGCACACTTCCCAAAGCCCCCAAACTTCGCCCCTGGCGAGGCTGTGGAGCTGGGAGATGAAGCTGTACTGACCAGTCTAAAGCTGAAGTATATACCAGTGGTGTTAAATCCAAAGGAGTGATCGCCGTCGGTCCCTCCTCAAGGGGTAGGAATCCGTTTCACTTGGCTGTTTCCGATCGCTCCTTCCACTGGCTGAACACGATCATGGCCATGTTACCGTCCACCATGGTGTCGTAGGCCCTTTGGGATGCTATGACAAAACACCACAGGCTAGGGGCTCAGAGACTGCAGGAATTCACTTCTCACACTTCTGGATGCTGCATGCCAAGGTCAAGGCTCTGGCAGATTCAGTCTTCTGGGAACCAGCTTCCTGGATCGCACACAGCCACCTTCTCCCTGTGTCCTCACAAGGTCGGCAGGGTGAGGGAGCTCTCTGGGGCCTCTCTTATGCCTGCCCTGCAGTCTGGGCCGTTGGTGGCAGTCTTTGACCGCATGGCACTGGAAGTATGGAAGATTGTGGGTCTGCTTCTGTGTGAGTTTCCTAAGGCTGCCACAACCTGGGTGGGGGTGAAAACAGCAGGAGCTTGTTTCACAGTTCAGGAGGCCACAGATCCACAGCTCAAGGTGTTGGCCGTGGTGGTTGCTTCTGGAGGCTCTCAAGAAAACTCTGCTCCCTGCTTCTCTCCCACGTCCTGGAGGCTTCCGGCAGGTCTTCGGCATTTCTTGTCTGTGGTCTCATCGCTGCAAAATCTTATCTTCACCTGGGCTCCTTCCCTGTGCACGTGCCTGTGTCCTCTTGTGTCCTAATAAGGAAGCCAGTCTCTGGACGTAGGGATCACCCCAAATTCAGGATGACGATTCATCTTCACATTTTTTGAAGAGTTTATTTTTAGGTAATCTCTACACCCAGTGTAGGGCTCAAACTCAGAACCCTGAGATCGAGAGTAGCACGCTATACCAGCCGAGCCAGCCAAGTGCCCCTCATCTTGATATACTTAATGATTTATATCTGGAAAGACCTATTTCCAAATAAGATCACATTCTGAGGTTCTGAGTGGACAGGACTTTAGGGAATCACTATTCCATCCACTACAGTTATTTGATAGGATTTCCCTGTATCTGATGTTTCCTTGTGGTTGGGAGGGACATCACAGATGTAATGCCTTTTTCTAATTGCATGCTGTTGGCTGGTACCTGACTTAATTTTGGTTAAAGTAATGTCTGCCCAGCGTTTTCAACTGTAAGATTATTCTATCCCCCTTTATGATTAACACGTATCTATGGAGAAA